AACCTGACACAACAGGCTTTCTGAGGTGACAGAATAGGATGTAACCAACACCCTTACAAGTTAAGACAATTAGGCATAATCATAATGTGTGATATTCTACAACCCTATACTCAGAGAAGAGGCTAAAGAACTACAATTATAGCCCGGCCAGTGTGGTTGAGCGTGGACCTATGAACCAGGAGGTCATGGTTCAACTCCTGGTCAGGGCACATGCCTGGATTGTGGGTTCAATCCCCAGTGGGGTGTGTGCAGGAGACAGCCAATCAATGATTCATTCTCTCTCATTATTGATGTTTCTTCTCTCACTCCCTCTTCCCTGAAATCAATTACACACACACACACACACACACACACACACACACACACGGATATAAGAACTATAATGATATACATGAATCTAGATTGAATATTGGTTTAAAAACCACATTTCTAAAAGCATTACAGGGACAATAGGGGAAATATAAAATGGCCTGAATATTAAAATTTTTATGGTGTGATATTATAAGCAGTCAAAGTATACATAAACAATAAAGCAAATATGGCAAACTAGTAACTGTACTTTTTTTGTTAATCCTCATCCATGGATGATATTTTTCCATTGATTTTTAGAGAGAGTGGAAGGGAGGGGGAGAGACAGAGAAAAATGGATATGAAAGAGACACATTGATTGGTTGCCTCTCACACACGGCTCCAGGATCAAGCCTGCAGCTCCCTACCCTCAGGCCGACGCTCTATCCACTGAGCCAAACCGGTTTCGGCATAACTGTACTATTTAGGTGGGATATGTTATATAGTATATGTTGTACCATTCTTTAAAATTTTCTAAATGGGTGACTCATGGTAGTATGAACATGCTGCCTAGAATTCTCAGCCCTAACCAATTTTTTTCAATGAATATGCTGCTTCCAGACCAACAGTTCAGATGAAATATCTTATTGTCAGCAGCACAATATGAAACAATTTACACCGTCAGCCAGCCTGTCCCTGTATCCAATTCCTCCAAAACAATCACCCCTACGCTTCTTTTCTCAGTCATGGCTTTATCCTTGCTCTAGCTTAGCTCTTGCCTCTGAGAGGCCTAATTTTGAAGTTTTTTTTTTTAAACAAGATTAACTGCTAAATTTCACCTTAGTAATCTATTATTGATAACTTTCAATAGTTTCAGAAATGGGCATTCTATCAATAATTCACCTTAAAATGAAAAAATGATCTGGTGCAGATCTAGGTTTTGGTATGTGTTCTCCTCCCCAATAGCCTAGAATTGTGGAGACACAGGAGGTAGGCATATTCTTTATTGCACACTGGGGATATGAGTGTGTTTTACAAATCTATTAAGGGCTAGCGTGCTAATACAGGAAGTTCCTAATTTATGAGTCTATTGTAGTACAAATGATAGTCTGTAAGACTATTATGAGGAACTTGGTGAGGCATTTTTCCACAGAAACAAAGTTTTATAAGGAAGTAACGCTACCAGGATAGTGGACAACGACTGGATATTTTAGGCAGTACTGAATTATGATAGGTTTTAAATAGTATTTCCTTTTGAAATTAAGATTCTAAATTATTTCAATGGAGAAAGATGAAGATCTTGGCCATTTCCAGCTACAAGTAGAGATCCTTGGGCAACTGTTCATACACAAAGGACATTTGTAAACCGAGCACTTCTAAGTTGAAGGTTGTCTATTTTTCGAGGTGTCATGTTTCTTGAAATTTACGCAAAATTTTATCCAGGTGAAGAATTTTATATCCAGGAAAAAAAATAAATCCATATTAATAGTCACAGTTAAGATAACCACAATTTGTCAAGGACTTTGTTGCCCAGACTTCCTTGGAGTCACTCTTATACAAGATCTTTAGCTAGGTGAACTGCAGAACTCCCTTTCAGAGTAAAGGTCCTAAATCTCAGGATTCGCTTGGTGTTTTTAAACCTAATTATTATTGAGCCATCGAGTACGGAACCTTTTGGGTAATATTTCAAAGTTATTCTTGCTAATTTGGAAAGAGAAAAAGAAAAAGAATATAAAAATAATATGCTCTGTATTTCTCTCATCTATAGTCAGTATAAAATTGAATATCTTCTCAACAGACAATAGCCACAGAACTAAAAATTAATTAGACAACTTGCTTAAATGATACAATTTTATTAAAGGGCAATCTGATATCATCTATCAACATTTTAAGTACATGAATCATTTGAACCAGTAAACCCAGTGCAGAGATGTATCCCATACATCATACATACAACCTCACAAAGGTATTAGTGCACAGACCTATACAACATTATTTGCAACAACAAAATTCTGGAAACTTCCTAAATGTCCTTCAACAGAGGACTGGTTAAATACATAATTGTATATCCGTTTGGTGAAGGTATATATAGCCCAGCCGGTGTAGCTTAGAGGTGAGCATTGACCTATGAACCAGGTGGTCACAGTTCGATTCCTGGTCGGAGCACATGCCCAGATTGTGGGCTTGATTCCATGTGGACATGCAAGAAACATCATTGATGTTTCTCTCTCTCTCTCCCTTCCTCTCTGTAATCAATAAAAATTTATTTTAAAAAAAAAGATATACAGATATCTTTACATGTGGTAGATTTACATATGTAAAGTTTTACATATATACACATTCTATTAAGTGCAAAAGGCAGTTTATAAAATAATATATATTCAGTAATCCCACTTTGTAATTATTTTTATGTGGTTGATTTTTTTTGGACACTAAAATAAAAAACCCACAAAGATTTTTATAAGCAATCTTCTAAAATTACTAAGAAATATGACTTACATTTAATATCTCCATACATATGGCTGATTGTAAATCTATCTTTGCCTTCAGGTGCCCAAGCAATTCTTTCAGCCATGAGGTATAGAGCTCCATCCTGCTTCTTTTGACGCACCTTCTTTACAATCAGCAAGACTTCTTCAGATGAAGTTGCCATGATGGCTAGAAGGTGCTAATGGAGACAAAAAGAGTTCACATCTCAGGGCCTGATTTATTGACTTCTAAAGTCCCTTCCAAATCTAAAACCCAAACTAATAATGAGGGGGGGAAATCTCTTCCTTCATTCAAAGTTGAAAATACAATTATATGGCATTATTCCTTAAAATAAAATTTTTTTTCATACTATTGGTATGAATTTACATAACAGTTTATAACATTTGGCAGTTATAACATTTTCAAACCATTCCCACATATGCTAATCAGAGTATTTTCAAATTATTTTTATTTTTCCCAGTTATATTCTTAAAATCTTAAAATGTATGATTTGACTACAAATGTGGTCTTCTATGTAATCTATATTTAGAATTGTAGAACTTCAGAATTACACAGGAGTCTAATAAATATTTAGTTCAAATTGTTTCAACTGAAACAACTAAGGGCCACAGGCTTTCTGTGACTACTCCAGAACCATTCCCAGAGCTGAAACCACATGCACATTTCCTAATTCTTGGCCTAGGTTTCATCCAGTATGCTTGAAAAATGTAAAACTGAGTAAAAAAAATTTTTTCTCCTTTTTATTATTCAAAATGTTACAGATAATGGCACTGCATTTTGGACTATAATAGTCAAATCAAAGATTGTCTTCCTAACTACAATCTTGTTTTCTTATTACTAAATGAAAAGTATTAAAATAGCAGCTGTGAAGAGAAAACAGAGAAATAGGGCTGTCAGATACAATATAAGATGCTCAGGTAAATTTGCTTTTCAGATAAACAAATTTTTAGCTAAACTATTTCCCAAATATCAAATTTATTAAATCATTATTTGTTGTCTATCTAAAATTCAAACTTAACTGAATTTTGTGTATTTTTATTTGCTACATTTGGCATCACTTTGTAGATTCTAAAAGGCTGGGGGCAGCTCCTGTGTTGAGCGTCTGCCCCCTGGTGGTCAGTGAGCATCACAGCGACCGGTCATTCTGCCAGTCAGTCTATTTGCATATTAGGCTTTTATTATATAGGATTAACATGCACTTTCATGAAAATGATGCTTTACAATAATTTACAGTATCAACTTTTCTGCCCCCCAAAACCTCCAAATAAACAAAACCATTTCATTAAGTTTCACAGTGCAAAAATTCTTGTCATTTGCTGTTTTCTACTTTTTCTTCTCTATTGGTCTCCTGTTTCTACCTTGTGTTATTTATTTGGTTAATCCTCACCCAAGGATACTTTTCCCATTGATTATTTTTTTAAAATAACAAGTGGATGTTTTTTTTTTCCTTTATCGATTAAGGTATTACATGTGTCCTCATCCCCTCATTGCCCTCCAACCCCCCCACTCATGCCCTCACCTCCCTGGTGTCTGTGTCCATTGCTTAGGCTTATATGCATGCATACAAGTCCTTTGGTTGATTTCTCCTCCTTACCCCCACCCTTCCCTACCTTCCCTCTCCACTGATTTTTTTTTTAAAGAGAAAGTGGGAGGGAGTGGGGAGACAGAAACATCAATGTGAGAGAAACATCAATGTGGTTGCCTCCCACATGTGCCCCGACAGGCTGGGAATCGACTCTGCAACTGAGGAACATGCCCTAGATCAGACTCAAACCTAGGATTCTTCGGTCTGCAGGCCAACACTCTAACCTAGTGGTTCTCAACGTGGGGCACACGCTCCATGGGGAGGCAATTCGAGAATGAGTTATTAACAGTGAATTTTTTGCACTTCTTATGGTTCTTGGGGCCTCATATACAGTATATATATATATATACATACACACACACACACACACATTTATGTATTTCAGTTCTCTATAATGTTTTGAAACGTTGCTATTTTTCATATCATTTCATATTATTATTTTTTTTAACAATTTCTTAGTGATTTCTTCCTTAGTAATTCAACTGTCCTTTTGTTCTTTTATTTTTCTCTTTCATGGGTGCCATGTTCTTTGGAAGTTTGTTTAAACCAAGTTAATGGCCTTTTAGGCTTCCTCCACATGAATAGGAGTTCCATTTTTGAATATTAAGAATTATATGTCACAGGGATATCAGGATTTTAGAAATGCTTAGGTGAGGCATGGCCAAAAAAAGGTTGGGAACCATTGCTCTAACCACTGAGTGAACTGGCTAGGGCTATTTTATGCTTTTTAGAAGTATGTTCATCTTTTTAATGACTCCTCCATCTCTTTCCCTTCTAGCTTTCTTATTGTTTCCTGTGATGTCATCACCATTGTCCTCATATATGTTAGACCATTTTATTGCCATATCTAGCTCTGGGTGGCGAGGTTTCGTCTCAGTAGTGTAAGTCTCCAAAGGTGGTGCAGTTTGACTTCCACATTTTGAATTCCTTTGGAGGCTTCTCAGGTGTCTTGACACTGCCTCTCCCAGTCTGTTGATCAGACTACAGAGAAAGACTTGGCCAGTCATGCTCCAGAGTAGCTTATGGGTCCTGGCAGCCACTGTTCTGTCTTGTTCCCACAACCACCCACTGCCTTTGCAGGATCCAGGGCCCTGGGGCTGGTCTCCTCCAGCTGGTTGTTTTCCTCCTTGTTAGAGAAGCTTGAGGTGCTGCTTCCATAAGCCTCAAAAGAGCTCAGAGGGTCCTTCTCCTCAGCCACCATGACAGCAATATGCCACGACCCAAAAGTGAAAATTTAATACTTAATATTTCAGATGCCACTTTCCCCATCTTTTAACAATCAAATGTCTTCAAATGCTCTCCATATCTTTGAGAGTCATTTGTATATATGGCTAATTTGTTACCTAGGAAACAGCCTGGTGACCTCCCACCTTTCTCCTAAATCCTGGGAATCTTAAATGCCCAACACAAATGCTAGAGGTTTGAGTGTGAATGTCTGGAATATGAGGCCAAAAAGGACTCTGAGGAAAGATCCCATGATTGATAGTGATGAAAAATGCCACATATATGCCATTTCTGAAGTAATGAATAGTTTTCATTCCCAAAGAAACAATTTAAAATATAATTTTAAAACATTTCCTTCTTCCAGCTCTGGAGGGGAAGTTTCTAATTTTATTTTATTTATTTATTTTTTTTAAATATATTTTATTGATTTTTTACAGAGAGGAAGGGAGAGAGATAGAGAGTTAGAAACATCGATCAGCTGCCTCCTGCACATCTCCTACTGGGGATGTGCCCACAACCCAGGTACATGCCCTTGACCGGAATCGAACCTGGGACCTTTCAGTCCACAGGCCGATGCTCTATCCACTGAGCCAAACCGGTTTCGGCAAGTTTCTAATTTTAGAGAAGCGAACACATCTAGGTGTCATAATTTGCCCCAAGCAAACAAGAAGCTTTACTGAATTCTTACTATGTCCAGGTATTGGACTAAATTCTTTTTAGGTGTTATCTCATTCAGTTCCCAGGTAACAATCCTGAGACAGGTGCTATTATTAGTTCCATTCTGTGGATAAAGGAAACTGGGTCTGAGAAATCAAGGTATTTTCCCAATACATCAAGGAGTAGGAGAACTGGGTTTCAATCTGGGTCAGACTGACCTTGGAGTTCTACTATGCTATTTTGTGAATATTTAGAATTAGAGGAATGGATATATACCCAATTTAATAGTGGTTACCTACAGTGACAGGATTACAGACGATCTGAAGATACCTTTTGTTTTCTGAATTTCTACAATAAATATATTATTTCGTAATGAGAAAAGTAGTTTTTAAAAATGTCTTTGCAGAAAAAAAATGTCTTTGCAAGAGTGTATCCCTATCAAACCATATGTTTGTTAAGGAAACATGGAAAAGTGTTAGGTGTCTTAGTATGGGTAAGAATTAAAACTATTTTCAATTTCTGTAATATATGTGTATCAATTATTTTATTTAGCTTTAAAAATTTAATTCATAAAGGAAAATTTATAACATCTATGGAACCATTAAATACTCTAATATTCATTTTCTAATATTCATTTTAATAAACACGTAAGTATCAACATTTTAATAAGCCTGTCTGTATTATGTAAAATTATACTAATCAAATTTTAGGAAATATGAATTAAAATCTGAGAAAGATGGGAAGGGAGGATAAGCAGATAACTATAAGATAATTTTAAGTATGTTCATATATGGAGGAAAAGCAGTGAGCAAGGACAGTTGATGGTCCCCAGTTAACTGGGCTACAGGCACATAAGTATTAGCTTTGGGGTAAAAAAACTTTTCTGAGATGGAAGGTAAGGAAGAAAAGATGAGTTAAGAGAGAAACTGAAGTGGAGGAAAAATTAGATGAATAGAATTGACTTTATTAGCTACTTTAAATCAATTGGGAAAAACATAGCCTCTTATGTACAGCGTGGGACAAAAGTAGTTTTGCAGTTGTTTGTATGTAAATTAATTAATACAATAATTAATAATAATATAATAAACTTTCATACGCACAACTGTAAACAAACTGTTGCCCCACCCTGTATATAGCATGTAAAAACATTTATATGAAGCATTAGCTAGTTTGTCTCAGTGGGTAGAGCGTCAACCTACGGACTAAAGGGTCCCAGGTTCGATTCTGGTCAAGGGTACATGCCCAGGTTGTGGGCTCGATCCCCAGTGGGAAGCATGCAGGAGGCAGCCAATCAATGATTCTCTCTCATCATTGATGTTTCTATCTCTCTCTCAGTCTTCCTTCCTCTCTGAAATAAGAAATATAAATATATATATTAAAAAAACCCATTTATATGAAAATCCACTAAGGGGGAACTTTAAAAATAAAGTTTGCATGTCAAATTTCCCTGGTTATCTGTAGTAATTTTAATTGTACTAGGACCAATTTTAGGAAGTTTAATAGAACCAGTAGGGATATCAGTAACTTGATTTCTAGACTTTTCTTGAAGATAGTTCCTTGAGTAGCAAAAACTTCCCAGTAGAGTTCTATAAGAGTCACAGAATATTTCATTTATGAGAAATATTGTAGTTACATTTAAACAAATTGGTTTGATGAAGATCTGACTTTACTTAAAAGATTATTTACTTTATGAAATAATCTGCCATGAGACTTCTTTAAATAGCAAGATCCTTTGGTAAAGTCATTAATTCATTTTCAGTGAAATATTTACTTGCCTGAAGCTAAATGTACATGCCTTGCTCTGAGCCTTTGTACATTCTCCTTCCTTCCCATTAAGTAACTTTTTTTAAAAAAATATATTTTATTGATTTTTTACAGAGAGGAAGGGAGAGAGATAGAGAGTTAGAAACATCGATGAGAGAGAAACATCAATCAGCTGCCTCCTGCACATCTCCCACTGGGGATGTGCCCGAAACCCAGGCACATGCCCTTGACCGGAATCGAACCCGGGACCCTTCAGTACGCAGGCCTACGCTCCATCCACTGAGCCAAACCGGTTTCGGCCCATTAAGTAACTTTTACTCATTTTTTCCCTACTCTAAGCTTCAAAGTTATTAGGCAAGGTCTTCTATTCTTCTCTTTATAGCACTTGTCACAACTATTATTAATTTTTAAAGTAATTATTTTAATGTCGATCTTCCCTTGACACACTGCAAGCTTCATAAAGAAGGGCAGAGACTACTGTATTGTGTTCAGTGCAATACAAGCACCCAGCAGCCTATTTTGGCCTATAGGAAGAGTTTAATAAATATCTACGATACCTTCTTAAGATCTTTGTTAATAGAAGGATACAATCTTGGTAAAACACAAGAAACCTTTGCACATACATCTGCGGCTAATTCCAGGAAGTACTATTACTTTCTTCTCACAAATCAGAGGATCATTCTTCATAGATTCCAATAACTGGCTTATAAGAAAACAGGGATAGGAAGAAATTGAAAATATTCAGCAGAAATCTTTAAATTACTGCATCTCTATATTTCCATTACCTACATCCCCTTTTCCAATGGCAGAGGTAAATGGGGCAAAAAAAAAGAAAAAAAAAGAAAAAGTAAAAGTAACAAGTGAAATATAAACTCCTTATCACCCTCTAAAAGAACTGCTGTACCTGCCAGCATACAAAATGGAGATTTGGAATACTGTTTGCCATTAGGCAATCCAAACTTTTTTAAACAACTCAGTATTACAGGGAATAAGACCTTGAAAGTATGTAAAGAGTAATCTAAATGTATTGTTTTAAGGGTAGTTACACACACAAAGCAGATATTAAGAGGGAATAACTAATGTAGCAATTTTAAGACTGAGCACTTTATCTTACAACAGTACAAGGAGAGGAAGGAGGAGGAAAATGCTACAGTGGAATGCAAGATAGAGGGAAAGACATGCTCATATTAACTCATAAATACTGCAAGCAAGAGGACAATACCAAAATGGAGAGAACAATCGGCTGGCAATCACAGTGGGGAAATGAGGGTCTATTGGATGGCTGACACCGCCACAGCGGTGGTAGGAAAGAGGAAGGAGGAAGGGTACACAAGACGCCTCTCCCAGCAGTAACCCCGAGATAAAAGTGGCCAGAATGCTAGGAAAGCAGAAGGTACGCTTGGCAACGTTCCAATGGTAGGGAAAAAACCAGCAGCACAGGAAAACGGGGCTGAAAGGTGGTCAGACCAGTAGGTGAAGACATGTCTCCAGGGCAGTGCACACAGAAAGCAGTCACAACTGACTGGAGCCCATCATCTGGTTCACTGCTTTTAACCGACTCCTGTCTCCCTGCACCCACCTCCCTAGTATTTTTAAAAAGCTGTCTTTACATCTGCACTACCACATGTATTTAATACCACCTAGGAGAGACTCGGTATCACCCATCGATCTGCTGCAATGCTAACAGGTGCACTGGCCCCAAATTCTCCCTCCCTCCTTGCCAAATGCGGGATTCAGGTCTGCTAAAAGGCACACGTTCTCCCCAGAGCCCGGTCCTTCTGAAAGCCGTAGGCCTGATGCTAGAGGTTATCTTCCCTCCTGCAGTGACATTTCCATTTCATCTGTTCTAGTTTTGACTTTGCTTTACACATGAGGATTCCTGGTAAGATTTCATGGGGAGGGATTGTTCCACTTCTTTTTGGAGTCAAAGCACTATGCTTTTGTATGTTTCAAAATTGGATCTTCTAATGGGGAAAAGGTTAATTTTTAAAAATCTCTCTCCCCCTCCCCATTTCACAGGCCCTAAAACGGATGTTTGAGAGTCAATTGGATAAACGTTCTTTAGGCAATAATTACATATCCCCATGTGTTGGTGATCTATTTTTAAGACGATCAAGTCGGGCCCAGTCCAAACCTGGGAGGGGTGTGTGGGCTGGCACACGAGTTAAGGCTTTCAAAGCAGTAGGACTGACAGGCGAAGCACAGCGTGCAGGCACCGAGGCGAAAGCTTTTTCTCTTACAGAAACCGAAAGACTTAACAGCACATTTCCTAACGGGAAGGGCTCCCTTGCGAGGGAGAGGCCTCCACGTCCTTCATTCCCATGAGCCGTCCCACCCCGGCTTTGGGGGAACCTTCTGGTCCCTACTCTCAGTAGAGGGGTAGGCTTCCTGCAGGCAAGTATATTAAGGGTCGCTTCTTCCCCGCTTCAGGATAATAACGGGCTGCCCGGAATGCAGCGTGGGAGTCGCGGGGACGGCGACAGGGACACAGGAAAAAGGGGCAGAATCCGCGCCGTCCAGCGGAATCCCAGGCCTGTCAGCTACTCACCCACCCAC